ATGTAGGCTAACACTATAATAATTAAAGCAGCTGGGAACCAGTTTATGGATTAACCAAAGATACCAATGGAGCCAAATAGAAGGTATACACAGATTTAGTATATGGTAATAGTTGTGCTGGTGAAAATATCTAGCCATTCAGAATTAAAACATCTTTTTTCATAAATGCAATCACATTTCAGATGGATTAAAGAATTAAATATAAAGGAAAAAGCCATACTTTCAGTTAAAGGTGTTACCATTTTAAACATATACATTCACCTGCTTCCTCTTAAACTCCACCTAAGTATGAGTAAAATGGATTTTTTTAAAAAAGAATTTAAACATCACAAGAACAAGAACAAAGAATGGGAAAGAAAGCTACAGCAATGAAACTTTGGAAATTAGAAAGCAGGTGGGCTAGTGGTAATGCAGACCTGAATTATAAGGCTTGGGTGGGTGGGAGCAGAGAAATGGCCCAATTAACACAATGACCCCCCCCCCCCCGCCATGACAATAAGCAGGCAGATGGAAGTGGATAGAAAGGTGGGGGTAAAAATAGGATTGAAAATCTGTTTAATGAGCAGTTCCCCTCCCCCGACCCCACACTGGGGAACAGCTGTCCCTCACGCCCAGGCAGAAGCCAGTGTTTCATGTTCTGGAGAGGTCTACTGGTCACAGCTGAAAAAAAGCTATGGAGCTCAAAACAGGAATTCAGAGAAGGTTACACACTGAATGTCGAGGACTTGACCTTCTTCCCAGAGTCCCAGAACATGCAAAGCCAGGTGTATGCACTCTAGGTAGGATATTGGATGTGTCCTCCCTGGAGGATCTGACCAGTCCAAGAAAAATTATATAAAAATACCCAATCAGAGGCTCCCCACTGAAATGGTTCATTCAACTCACCCTGATAAACATAAGACCACAGCTGTGTAGCTGGCCAAAGTCAAGTCCATTTCACATGGGGACCCTGCATTCCATTGCTCCCTCCAGGAAACATCTGATTGATTCTTCAGTCTGCCCCTCAGATGGACTGTCCCTATTGAGAAGCCTTTGGCCCAGGCATTGACCCCTTCCTCCACCAGCGTGGACCACCCTTGCAGGTCAGGCCTCTAAGGAAGCACACAGCACGGCAGGCAGGCATGTTTGCAGCCCAGGGCCATTCAGTCTAACCTCCAGGGCCCTCATTGCTCTTTTTAAATTCTTTCATTTCAGTCAACATTTGTTAACTCCTATGGCAGTCATTAACACCCTTTCTTTAATTCCTCAAACTACCTCCACCTCCCGTCAGTAAATTACCTTACCTCCTATTTTACTCAGAAAATGGAGGCCATCTCCTGTGAATGCCTCTTCATATCCAAATTGCTCTCCAGTTATTTTGACCCCGTTGCCTTCTCTTCTGTACAGATGAGGTGTGTCCTGTTTCTTCCAGCCTGTCCTAGGAGCTCGTCATACCAACTGCCTTTCCTTTGTCTTGCATCTCCAGTTCATTCCCTTTGCCCACGTGTGAGAACGTGTGCAGTGGACTCAGATTCCCTTTCAGGACTGGAAGGTTTCTTCCCCAGATGCTGGAGGTGCTGCTGGCACGTGGCCCTCAGTCCAGAATGGCCTCAGTAGAAGGGAGTCACTAAAGGTCACACCTCCTTCTCTGGGCAGCTTCCCTCTACGGACTGGCTCATATGGGGATATGCAGACCCAGCCCTCTCGCCTCAACTCTGGACAGCTTTGAAGGGCGTTCCTGTGTCAGAGCTCCGCTGTGTTGGCTGAGGGCTAAATGGAGGCGGCATCTCTGCCCAACTTCTCCCTCTGTCCTGTCCTGTCTCCTTTCCTTGCCTCCCATGGTTATATATTGATGTTTAAGTGCTTTTCACATTGTGAGAATATTGCAAATAAGGTTTCCAGTTTGCTTTTTGGTTTGGCTCTGCTTGAGACATTTTTTGACCATTTAATGGAATTAAAAATGTAAAAGTTTTACATTTTAAATTGGTTAATGTTATCAATAGTCCCCCTATGCTTCTTGGTTTCCTGTCATGCTCAAATTACCATTCCCCATTCTAAGATTTGAAAAACTCAATAGTATTTTCTTTAAAACTTAGCTCAAATGCCATTGCTACCACAAAGGTATCCCTGAGTACTTTGACCAGAAGTTAGCCCCAATTCCTCTCCCCCTTTGTATAAAAATCACATTGCACATAACATCCTGCCTTATTAGTTATTTTTATTATTCTCTAAACTCTTCTAGTAGATTGTAAGCAACTGAGGGAAGAAACTCCAGCATCTAGAATATGCCTTGCATTCAGTGCCACTTAAATATGTATGTAATTGAATTAACTGGTTGTGGTTGTTTTCCACACTAAGGGTGTGTGTGTGTGTGTGTGTGTGTGTGTGTGTGTGTGTGTGTGTATCCAATCCTCAGTAATTAGATTTAAATTTGTGTGAAAATCTGTGACTAGTTCTTTTTTGCTTAGAACTGTCCTGCCATCGCCAGACCCGAGCCATGCCTGTCGCGGGCCGACTGCAGGAGCAGCACATGAAGACTGAGGTCGTAGGGCTCGCCAAGTGACTGGTGACCAGAACACTCCTAAGTGAGCAGGCAGGTCAGGCAAGATGGTTCCTAGCACCAGGGGTGGTGTGTGGGGAGCCGTAGCACAATGTGGCCCTCCTCTGACACACACAAACACACGGAGTGTAAATGGAGCTGAATCACCTAACAGCATGAATGTTCCGCCCCTACCGGGGCATAGATTCTGCCTTGGCCATAGGTCTGGCTGCTGAGGTTCTCGATGGTGCTGAAGGCCAGCTGAGGTAGGCAGTCAGGCTCTCAGCTAGTTAAATACAGTGAAGTATCAGCTCCAGTGGATTAGTCCCTTGTAGTCCCTATGCCCACTATCCATCACTGATTCTATTTCCTCTCTTTTCATTCTCTCTTGAGCCTGTTCAACTATGGCTTTCAATCCACCAAAATTGCTCTTGTCAAGGCCACCAGTGAACTCTGGTGGCCACTTCTCAGTCCTCACCTTACTTGACCAGCGAGCAGCAGTGTTGACTCGCCCAATGCCCCCCTCCCTGTTCCCAGAGGGCTTCATTGGACTCAGGACGTGATGCTGTCCCAGCTTTTCTCCTCCCTCACTGGATGCTTTCCTCTTCCCGTGTGCTGGTTCTTCCTCTTCTTCCTGAGCTTTTAACATGGAGCAGATCTAAGGTGCAGTCAGTCTTTGGACCTCTTCCCTTTTCCATCTATATTCATTTTCTTGGTGATCCCATGCAATCTTATGGCTTTTGGTTTTATCTGCCAACAAATTCCAAATTTCATCCCCTCCAGCCAGACCCATAGATCCAACTGCACAGTCAACATCTTGTTTAGCTGTCTAACAGAGACCTCAAACTTACCATCCCCAAACCGAACTTCCGCTCTTCCCCACATCCGCTCTTCTCACAGCCTCTCCATCTCAGTCAGTGACAGCACCATCCAGGTAGTTTTTCAAATGTATAACCTGACCTCATCCTTTAGTCCCCTCCCTTTCTCACCACAATCTGTCAGCAAGTCTTTTGACTACACCTTCAGAATGCATTCAGAATCCGATCACTTGCCACCACCACCCTGTAAACTACAGTAATACCCTGTACTAGTGGTTTAACTGTTCTGTGTGTCTCTTTCCTCATCAGTAATCTAGGAGTAATAAGGGACCACAACTCACAGGGTTAATGTGTGGACTAAGAAATAGTATATGTAAAGAACTAGCACAGTGCTGGGCAGTTAGTTCACAATAAATGTTAGCTTCTGTTATTTCTGGCTTTTCTTTTCTAGAAGGTTGTAAGGAGATCTGACTTGTAAAATTGAAGTCATCAGCTCCTTTTCATGGTAACTAATTTTATTCTTCAACATGTGCAATTTCCACTTCTTAAGATTTCAATTAAATGAATTAAAGAACATGTGCTGCTGTGTTCATGGGTTGGCTTCCAAAAAAGAAGAAAGGGAAAAATTCACCTTTCCCAGTAAAACTATTACAAATAAGAACCAGACAGGGTGTTACATAGCACTATGGCAATTTGAAGCATTAGAATTCTTCTCTTGCCTAGTAGTAATTTTCAGCTAATCAGACCACTTTAGCCTAGAAAATGTTTTAAATTCAAGGTTCCATAAGATCATTAATATGATATTGCACAGCTTACACAGCACGAGTTTCACAACCTGAAAGAACTTTGGAGATATGAGGCAAGTCGTGGGACATCTCTGCAAAAGCTGGGGTAACTGCCACCACTGGTATGAAATGGCCCCATATTATTAACCTGCAGTCCCACTGTATGTCTTCCCAACTATTGCCTGAGTTGTCAACTATGTTACAATAAGCCTTAATTATGTAGGAAGCATCTTGGGTAAGTACCCAAATGCATAAATTAAACACATGGATACTGCTAATAAGTTAAGAAAAAACATTGCACTATATGAACAGAAAAACAATTTCAGAACATTTAACTTGTCCCTTTAATGCAGCCAATTTGCTAATATATGGTAAGGAATGGTTTCTTAATAGATAAGAAAAAATGTTCATCTAATTTTAATGTTTATGGAAAATCACATTCTTTATTATTTCATCCATTCTTTCCCCCTTCTCATCCTCCCTTCCTCCCTCCATTCTGCCATACCTACCATGTGCTGGGTAATAAGAAAAATAATGGTAGAATATTTTTATTACTTCTTCGTAAAAATATTTTAATCCTTTTCTGTAGCTCAAGAGCTAGTTAATAATGGCCTTGGATGTTTTAAGAGGGGTGAAATAACTTCAAAAACACTAGTCGACTGTATTTAATTTGGTATTCACTTTATTTTGTCCATATGTAATTATATAATAGACTCTGTGGTATTCTGATACATATGTGATGTATACAATATAAAAAACATTAGTTTCCATTATATGCAAAAGTTACTTAGTAGAAGTAAACTCCCACTGTGGGATCATTTTAGCTAATCTACACACACTTGACATGCTCATTTGCATTTATCTGTTTGTGTTTTGCAGGAAGTCCTGGCTGAGCAAGGTGGGAAGTCCCAGTTCTCGCATTGACCGCACAAACTTTTCTAATGAAAAAACCATCTCTAAGCTGGAATATTCTAATTTCAGTATTCGGTACTAATAGGAATAAAAATCATAGTGTTCATCCTGCACAATAGACACCATATATTCTTAGGTCTGTGCACTAGGGTAATAGTAGCAGAGTAGGGTAAAAAAAGGGACTCTGTTCTGAAAGCTGCAACATTATATGTATTACTAAAATGTCTGAGCCTGAAATAGTTTCATTCAACTATGTTTTTACCAACCAAAAAATAAGTGTCCTAAAATAAAAAATGTCATCACAAAATATTTAATATGAATAGTTAATTTAAACTTGTTTCATGGAAACTGATTCTAATGAATGTTATAGTATACATGTTATTTGGCTAGGCTAGACATAAATAAATAAAATTAGCCATTTAAAAATCATTTAAAGTACTGCTGTCTGAATTGAACTCTAAAAACTTCTGGATCATTTGTTATTAAAGTTGAGTAATTTTAATTACTCAAAAAGAACAAATAGATATAAATGTATATAATGATCAGTATAATCATAAAATAACATCAATAAAGAGTTAAGTTTTTAAATTCTGACTGAGAACATGATTCGGTACTTGGGTTGGAGCTCCCTAATGCATTCTGTGAACTTACTGTTCTGTGTAGTGAAGGGAGGAGGGATGTCAATTGAAGGGAACCCACAATTCAGCGGAGCAAGCAGCAAGATTTGTATCAACAACCATCCACGATGGGTATCCTTTAACCAGAAAGGAACCAATGGAGAGTCTAAATAAATCATATTATCCCCTAAACTTGGCCTATCATGCAAATGATTTTTAAGCAACAGAATATTTTAAGGGGAAGTTTCATTTCTATACCCTAGAATCACACTATTGATAAAGGAAGAACTTTAACTCAAAATACTGGGGAATTTCAAATGGGTATATACTTGCATATGGCCTTCATTAAAATAAAATTTTACCTGGAATTTAATATATAAAGAAAATGAAAAAGCACAACCAGCATGAGTGAAATGGGGACAAGGTCCCTGGAACCCTGCACACCTGGTCTGGTCTTCCTCTTGCTTCTTGTCCTCTGGACAATTTCAAGTTCCTTAGGAATACAGATGAGAAATCACCATCCGATCTGTGGAAGCAGTTTCCACTGCTACACTGCAGGGCATGGAGAAAGAATGCAGGCCTCTCTCCTCTACCTGCTGCCAGATCAGAACTGAGAAAAGGAGATGGAGGGCTGGCTGACTCTGTTCATTTGGAAGGGTAACTCTGTGGATGACGATAATATTGATATCAAATACATATAGAAGACAACACAACATTAGGGGATAACAAAGGTATTTTTTAATACTTTCCAAATACACTTAAATGAATAAAGAGCTTTCCCATTTCTTCAATACCATCAGCATATTAAGTATGACATGTCAAACATCACCCAGAGAACCTACTGAGACACCCATTTGCACCCATGTAGTTCCCCACTCCTGGTTCAGGGGAGGCAGACAAGTCTATGTTCCCTTACCTCAGGAGGGTGTTGGTGCCAGATACCCTGAAGACTACTTTCCTTCCAAGGTTTGATTTTAAAGAGGGCATTATATTGTGAGTTGAGAGGAAAGGCAAATACAGGCCTTTAGCGGGTAGAAGAGAAGTGACAAGAGCCAAAGAAACAAGGATATTGTCCTAAACTTTGGAAAGGGACCAAATGTCATGGATTTCCCAAGTGATGGAGACCTGCACCTTTCTCCTCAGCCACACTTCTTGGGGAGGGTTAAACCCGAGGAGGGAGCAGCTGTGGTACATCCAGGAAAGCAGGATCCCAGCCCCAGGAGCTCTGGCTCTAGCCAGATTCCTGCTCCCAAAAGCGCTGCAAAGCGTCTGATTACAAAGGACCATGGTGGTTTGGACTGGAGACCAGAGAAGTCTTTCCTGAATGTTCTCTCTGCATATGGACCTTTACATGTCCTCCTGAGAGAGGGTGCAGAGTACCAGAGTGACGGATGTAACTCCCCACCTCCCAGGCAGGGGGGGCTTAAAGCAGGCTCAACTTGATTGAGAGAAAATAGGCATTTCTTGCACACACAAGTTTGAGAAAAAATCTCTTTATACATTAAAAAGGCTAAGTGATTTTAGAAAAACTGTGATCACAGATGTGCCACCAATGTGTCAGTCACTGTGTGTAACCCTGCCATCCCTGACAGCGCCCTCCCCAGCTCTTGTGGTAAGGAAATCACACTTGGCTGGCACGATCTCCTAACTGCACAAACAACCACATCAGTCAGGGCTGCTTAATGATTAATATATAACTAAATTCTAGTACTGGATGAAAAATGTAAATGATGATTAAAAGTAGGTGTTCATGAATGTGTAGAAGGCAAGAGAAAAAAGCAATCCTTAAAATTTTACAATTTAACATTAATATGTCAAAATGTATATGGAACTTACACAGAATTTTTAATTTATGTAATTTTGATACTTTTAATTTTGTCAGACATTTTAAAAAAGAATGATATTAAGCAAAAGGTGGTATCTGCTTCAGTGACCATTAACCAGGAGTCTCCACACTGCACATGCCCACTCCCTTCTCTGGAAGCAGCATACCCGAATTATGGAAGAAGGATTTATCATTTTTCATATTTATATAAAAATGACCACCTTTAAAACTGGCATTAAAACAGGTATGTAGATTAGAGGAACAGACTAAAGGGCCCAGAAATAAACACTTGCCTATATGTGTGGCCAATTAATTCATAACAAAGGAGGCAAGACTATACAGTGGGGTGAAGACAGTCTCTTTAATAAATGGTATTGGGAAAAACTGGGTCACTTTCTCATATACAAGAATAAACTCAAAATGAATTAAGGACATAGATGTAAGACCTAAAACCATAAAGCTCCTAGAAGAAAATATAGGCAGTATGCTCTTTGACACAGCTCTTAGTATTCTTTTTTTTTTTTTTTTGATATGTCTCTTTGGGCAAAGGAAACAAAAAATAAACAAATGGGATTATATTAAACTAAAATGTTTTTACACAGCAAAGAAAACCATCAACAAAATGAAAAGAACCTACTGAATGGGAGAATATATTTGCCAATGATACATTCAATGAAGAATTAATATCCAAAATATATAAGGAATTTATACAACTTAACACACACACACAGAAACCCCGAACAATCTAATTTTAAAAGATGGGCAGATTACCTGAATAGACATTTCTCCAAAGAGGACTCACATGGGACTAATAGATAGATGAACAGATGCTCAACATCACTAATAATCAGAGAAATATCAAATTAAAACCACAAAGAGGAGATATCTCCTCTGTCAGAATATCCTTAATAAACCAACAAACAAGTGCTGGCAAGGACATGGGGAAAAGGGGACCTCACAGACTGCTGGTGGGAATGTAAATGGGTGAGGTCACTATGGAAAACAGTATGGAGGTTTCTCAAAAAAGTAAAAATAGGAAACTAATATGACCCAGCAATTCCACTTCTGGGCATTGATTCCAAAAAAAATATTAATTCAAAAGAAATATACATCTCTATGTTCACTGCAATGTTATTTACAATAGCCAAGATACGGAAGCAACCTAGGTGCCCATTGATAGACAATTGGATGAAGAAGATGTGGTACATTTATACAGTGGGATATTACTCCATCGTGAAAAAGAATGGAATCTTGCCATTTGTGACAACTTGGACGGACCTAGAGGGCATTCTGCTAAGTGAAATAAGTCATACAGCAGAAGACAAATACCATAACGTTTCACTTATATGTGGAATCTAAAAAACTAAATAAACAGACAAAATAGAAACATAGATATAGAGAAAAGATTGATGGTTGCCAGATGGGAGGGGGTTTGAGAGCATGGGGCGGGGGAGGTGAAGTGATTAAGAAATACAAGTTGCCAGTTATAAAAACAGTCATGGGATGTAAACTACAACATAGGAATATACTCAATAATATTATAGTAACTGGGTGGTGTCATATGGGCACTAGACTGATTGGGGTGATCACTGCATAGTTATATAAATGTCTCATCACTATGTTGTATACCCAACAGTAACATGGTATTGTATGTCAACTGCAATTGAAAGATGTTTTTATTTTAAAAAGTTTTAATGAAAAAAAGCCTATCTTTTAAAAAACCTGACTCAAGAAGGAAGGCTCAATAGAATTTTCTTGGCTGGAGGGAATATGCAAATGACAGACTCTGCCAGGTTGGGTACCCGGAAGCAACAGGGTGTGCAAGAGACAGGAGGTTTTTCTGTTAGGAAGGGTATGGGCTTCTAGAGTCCAGAAGCAGCAATCCTGATGTCATCTGAGACTGGGAATACCCTGCAGCCTGAAGAACGCTTGTGCTTCCCAGGTAGGTGCTGTGCTAACTAAGCAGAGAAGCACTGAAGGGGGGAACTATTGGGGGTGCAGGTAGAAGGGAAGGGGGAGGATTGTGAGTTTGACCTGGCTTGAAACTGGTCTCTGTTTTTACAACTAAATATTTTTAACTTTGTCTACCAAAGAATTTTTTCAGAAACATGTATCTCTATACTCATAATTAGTGACAGAAAAACAGAATCCACTTCCAAAAATTAGCTAGTATTTGCAAGTATATAGTCCACAAATCTATTTCATACAGTAGCTCTCCCTGACCTCCATTAATATAAAATGTTCAGTACCTGGTTAAAAGGAAAAGATTTTCATGTCTGGAAATAACTTCAGGAACTTAAAATAGGCAGCACAGTATGGTAGAAAAAGTTCTGGTCTTGGTGTCAATTGCAAAGTCAAAAAAATCCAAATCCAGCTTAAGCTCATGACCTGAATTTGAACTGAGTACCTACTGTGCCAAGCCTGCAGATAAATAAAATAAGTGAGCAACTCAACCAAAAGATATGCAGTGCAAAATCAAAACACATACTGGTTTTCTATTTAATTCCAATTTCAGACTATAAATCTTAACTTTTGGTTGGGAAATAAGTTAAAAACAAAAAGGAATTTGGATTGAATCAGGATTTCTGTGGGATTCCAGTAAGCCAGATGCTTCCCAAGAGGGTAGCATCAGGATAGCTGCAGGAGGGCCATGAGAAAGAAGGGCAGGTGAGGGCCCTGCTCCCTGCTCCAATCAGTGTAGCCCCATTCTCATCTCTTTCATATGATCAGGATGCTCCCTAAGACATCTTTTGAGAAGAATTCTGCCTTAAAGAAATAAAAACAAGTAATAACAAAGACACTGAATATCTGGAGTCTTCTCTAAAATTCTATAAATGCTAAACTCAAATGTCTTTGCTATTCTCTTAATTACTTCCATCAAGCCAGTGTGGTATGTCTACTTTACCTTTATGCATTTGCATTTGAAACATGCATACTTTAAATTCCTCATATAATCTAAACGTATGTTGATTACAAGAGACATGTAAGGTGATAAAAAATTTCCACTATCAACCATGATGTAGTGACAAGCACTGGGCTTAACCTCCCATGGTAAATAGCTAGAATCCTGGACAAAATATACGAACAACTGTTTTTGGGCATTGGACAACAGGCAGTACAGGACCCTGATGCCTAAAAAAAGGGAAACAAATGAAGTGAGCTCTATAATTGCTGCATTTTTCTGCTTAGAGGTGATTTCCAGGCTGCAGGAGCAGGAAGTGGGAATCCAAACAGTGTCTGAGGTGGAGAGTGTTGTTGAGGGAGGCTGAGGTGCATGTGGCTGGTGGCTACCTTGTTGGCTGGCACAGCTCTAGATTCACAGGGGGGAAAATGGAAACATCCACTGAAATTGAACAGTATTTGTCTG